AGTAAATCAAGTTGGGTCCAAGATTTACTTCTCGCCTATCTGTGTGGATTCTGATATTGTTAAGTGGGGCTATAGTCATTTTAGTTTCAAATCGCTCACTTGTCCTTCTAAGTATTCTTTACCGTCATGGTGGGGAACTAGTGTTGCGGGCAACTGGGAAGGCTTATATTTTATGAAGAAACTAAGTGCTGTTAAAGGTTTGTTGAAGTTTCGGAAGACGGGTTTTTGGTGACACTAGGATTTAGAAATTAGAAATTTTGGAGAGAATTCACAAATTAAATTGATGTAGACCTCTACTAAGATAAAAGCCCCCCTACAATAGGATGTGAGTAAATATGGTTCGCGCCCTTTTGAGTGGGTCTCGGTCTATTAGTTCAAAGGCTATTCAAAGAGTTCCTGGAATGCTATTTCATCAGGTTTCTCCTTGTTCTCTCAATTCGTTAATTGCTTTCTTGGTAAGGTTCATATATCTATTTTTGGAGGATCGTTGACTGGGAGATAAGCATCTTTTCGCTTTGTTCCTTCATTTGTATCACCTTTTGGATTAAAGGTTGCATTTGGTGACCTTCATTATGCCTTCCTCGGGTTATGGCTTTTCTTTATCTTTAGGCTTCCATTGACCCTTAGCAGACAAGGAGACGGGATGTGGCTACCCTTCTTTCTCTTCTAGGTAATGTTCAGATGGGTCTGGGGAGGGATGTTTGCTTTTGGGCCACCACCCTTCTAGGGGCTTCTCTTGCAACTCTTTCTTCCAGATTTTATGTACCCCTTTGTCCCCTTCGGTTGCCCCTTATTTCTCCTCTCTTTGGAGTTAAGGTCCTGAGAGTGACAAATTTTTTGCATGTCAGTTTTACATGGATTGTTAACACTTCAAATCATATCCAGAGACATTCCTCCTTAGTGCTGGTCACGTAGTGGTGTTGTCTGTGCAAGCTTGTATCAGACGATCTTGATCACATCCTTTGGAAGTTCTCTGAGTCGCTTTGTTTTGGATTTTGGGATCTTGTGAGTGCGCAATAGGGATGTTTGCTCTATGATAGGGGGGTGCTCCATTTTCCTCCTTTTTGTAATAAGTGGAGAGTTCTATGGTAGACTTTTTTTTTGTTATTTTTATTTTTAGTTACTATATTGTGGGGTTTATGGCTTGAGATGAATGGTAGAATTTTTGAAGGGGTGGAGAAATCCTGGGAAGAGGTGTGGGGATTGTTAGATTTAACGCCTCTTTAGGGCCTTCGGTTACTAAACCGTCTGTTTTGTAATTATTAGTTAGGCTTTATTATTTTGTATTGGCATCTGTTTGTTGTAGACTCCTTTTGGTGGGCTGTTTTTTTGTGTGACCTTTTAGTTTCTTTCATCTTTCTCAATGAAGTTTGGTTTCTCATTAAGAACGTTTGATTTGGAACTTCACTTACCCAAAGCAGGTAATTCTTTTTGTGGGTCCTTGCTTTTGTAACTACAGTTTAGCTTTGATCAACGATTGGAAAGCTGTAATATGTTAGTTTTTGGAGGGCTTTTTCATCTGCCCAGTAGGTTGTTCTCCTTCTCTTTATCTATACATTCTGTTTCCTATTTAAAAGAAAGGAAATTTTTTTTAGAGAATTAAGTCTTTTGGTGGTTTGGGAGAGGGAGGTGAGCTATTGACTGAGTTATGGGAGGAGCAAGTGGGATTGGAAGGAAAGGGAAATTAGAGGTCACTCGGGAGGAGGATGTTAGTTGGAGGCAAAAAACTTAAGGTCAATTGGGCCAAGGAAGGAGCCTGCAATATGACCCTTATTTCATAATTTTGCCAAAGGAAGAAGAAATAAGAATTTAATTGGTTCCTTAGAAAAGGACAATGGGGAATTCGTGAGGGAGGACAAGGAGATTGAGAAGGAGATTGTTTTTTTTCTTTTCAAGTCTTTATGCTCCTCGTTCTATTCTTAGGCCTTTTCTGGAGGGACTGAACTAGTGTCCCATTTCTGTTATAGATATAAGGAACATTAAAACCCTCGTTTACTTTGGATGATATCAAAAGAGTGGTTTTTGGGTTCGATAGGAACAAAGTTCTTGGTCCAAATGGTTCTTTGATGGCTTTCTTTCAAGGTAGTTGGGAGTGCATTAAGGAGGATTTGTGGGGGGTGGGAGGTGTTTAGTGAGTTTTATGAGAGAAAGATCATTGATGCCTCCATGTATGAGACCTACATTTGTCTTATCCCCAAAAAGGATAAGCCAACAGGGTTAGAGACTTTAGGCCAATTAGTTTGGTTTGAAGTCTTTATAAGATCATTGCTAAAACATTGGCGGCTAGGTTGACAAGTGTCCTCAATAGCACGATTTCTAGTTCCCAAGGAGCTTTTGTTGCTCATAGACAAATCTTCGATCAAGTGTTAGTACTAATAGGTGATCGAGGATTATAGAGAGATCAGTCAAGAAGGGGTAACTTGTAAGATAGACTTTGAATGCCCTTGTATCCTTTTGGATTGAAGCCCCTTCATTTAGGTGGGCTTCTTGTTGTAGAGCTAGTTTTTTGTATGTCCTTGTATCTTCCTTTTTTCATTTTTCTCAATGAAAAGTGCAGTTTCTCATATTAAAAAGAGATTTTGAAAAAGCTTATGATCATGTGGATTTCACTTCTTAGATAAGGTTCCCTCGAAAGAAAGGTTTTGAATTTAAATGGAGATCTTGGATCTGGGGTTGTATAAGGTCGGCAAACTTTTCTATCCTTGTTAATGGTTGACCCAGGGTAAGATTGTTGCTACTAGAGGTTTTAGGCAAGGTGACCTTTTCCCTTTCCTCCTGGTGGTTGTATTGACAGGTGTGGAGAAGGGCATTATCGAGGAGTTTAAATTAGGAAACGATAGAACTCATCTAATGTACCTTCAATTCATGTACGACACTCTTTTCTTGGGAGGGAGGGGGCTTTCTTTTCAAGAGGGGTTAACGTACTAAATGCCAAAAAAACAGAAAAAGAATTAACTCTCATCAAGTCTGTTTTTGGTGGAATGCCTACCTATTTCCTTTCACTGTTTAGAATCCCTATCTTGTTGAGTAAAAATTTAGAGAAAATCATGAGGAGGGAGGAGTGGGAGGGGGGAAGTTCCAATCTGGTTAGTTGGGAGGTCGCCCCGTGCCCCTTGTGCTTTGTGTCTCTTTGTTCCATCTTGAGGCCCCTTCTTTCTCCAATCTTTGAAAGCTAAAGGTATCCATGAAGGTCAAATTCTTTGCGTGGTAGGTCTTGCAAGGAAGTTAACACCTTAGATTGCGTTCAGAGACATTACTCTATGGTGTTGGGCCCGCGAGTTGCAGTTTTTGTAGACAGGAGGATCTTGACCCTCTCTTATGGAGCTGTTTCATTCCCACAGGCTTTATGGAGTTGCTTTGTCATTTGTGTCAGTTTTTGGGATCTATGGGGCAAGTAATAGAGATTGTTGTTCTAAGATGAAGGAGGTTATCTTGAATCCTCCTTTCTGAGATAAGGGCACAATCTTCTAGTAGACTTTTTTTTGGTGTTGTTTTGTGGAATATTTGGATGGAGAGAGAGGATGAAGTTTTTAGAGGGGTTGAGAGATCCTAGGAAGAGTTGTGGAATATTATTAGGTTTAACATCTTTCTGTGGGCTCCGGTTTTGTTTTTTAGTTATTAGTTAAGTTTTAGTCTTTTGGATTGGAGTCCGTTTATGCATAGGTAGTTAACATATGCTTGATTAGCTCTAGAGATGTCGAATAGTAATGAAGTCCATTATCTTATTTGAGCTTTTGGGCTACATGATAAAGGTAGTAAACTTTAGTAGCTGGACTTAGACTCATGAATATCTACTTGTTTTTCAAAAATAAATGTTGCTGCTCGATGTTGGAAGGTAGATGACAACTACCGTGGTTTCAGTAGTCTTCCATAACTTGTATTGTTGCCTTTTTCTGGGCTTGAAGTTAATATATTCATGGTTGTTGCTTCTCTTTGAATGGCAGTATGCCGAAAAGGCTTTTGTTCGGAAACCAAAGGAAAATCAATATCCTAATTTGGTGGCGCAACAGATCTGGGACGGTGTACGCTCGAATGACAAGAAAGCGGTTTATCGGCACGTTATAAACTCGGAAGCAGACGTAAATGCAGTGTATAAGCAAATGCCTTGTGGCTCTTTGACTCTTGCTAAAGTAATGCTAATGCAGGAGCCGGCTGGCCCCAGTGATTTTGTTGAGAGATCCACAATCCCTTCCAACTCAGGATGTATGAGCGAAGGCAGCCAGCCTATGGAGGATCTAGACGGCTGCACGCTCCTGCATCTCGCTTGTGAAACAGCAGACATCGGTATGCTCGAGCTCCTTTTACAATGCGGCGCAAATATTAATGCCATCGATTCCCGACATCAATCTGCACTTCATCATTGTATCCTCAAAGGCAGAGCTGCAGCTGCCAAATTGCTTCTTTCCAGGTTAGTGATAAAAGGAGAAGAAAAAGAAAGCCCTTTTAGTTTTCACCCCGTCTCCATCTCTGCACCATTAATGGTAAAAAAAAATTGGCTGTATACATTGCAGGGGAGGGGATCCACGGGCGGTAAATGGGGACGGTAAAACCCCGC